CTCACTGCCATCAAGGTGATTCCAACTCATAGCAACCCCCACTGGGTTCCCAAAATGGTAAATCTTTATAGAAGCAGACTGCCTCTTCTTTCTTCCATGGTACAGCTGGTGGGCTGGAACCACTGACCTTTTGGCTAGCTGCCAAATGCCTTAACCACTTTACCACCAGAGCTCCTTTCCTTAAAGGAAGGAAGGTTTTGATTACAGCTTCTCAGTTTACATTTCAATTGGGAAATGCAGTGTAAACACTTCTGCACCAACATCAAAAGGGTTTTGAGTCACACTCTACACTCCCCCTTCTCTGGGATGGGATTTCCTCAAGTGAGGAATGGGACCAAGCAAATTTGAATTTTGCAGTGTTTGCAGGTTGGGGCTGAGGAGTTTGATCTGTTGACATTAGAAGACCTTTTACCAGGAGTTTGATCTGTTGACATTAGAAGACCTTTTACCAGGAAACTGGATGAAGGAGCTACGAGAACCATCTCTTGCTCAGTTTCTACTACATCATGTGACCTAGCCTTGAAAGAAATAGAAACTGGACATGGAAAACCTTAACATAAGCACTGATTTTCAACAGATTGTTGACTAAATTTCAGGACTTTTTTTCCCCCTGTTCATAGAAGTTACAGGATGGAGTAGAAGTGAGTGCTTCTCAAACTGCTTCGGGTGCTTTAGAGAAGAGAATCCTTATGGGTACAGTTTTGAGAACTTTGCCGTGATAGAGAAGCAAGCTGGAGGATAAGGGACTGCCAGGGATTATTTACAGACCTCGCTGGGGCAGTGGTGATGTCGATTCCTGCCCGCTGAGACCCCATTTTGCTCCATAGGGTCTCAAAGGCTAATTTTTTGGTAGATCCCCAAGAAGCCTTGGGAGAAGTGCAGGTAGATCACCAAGAAGCCTTGGGAGAAGTGCAGGTAGAATGTGCCTTAGAAGTGAGGATGGCAAGACTTTCTCTCACTTACTTTGGACACGTCATCAGGAGGAATCAATCTCTGGAGAAGGACATCATGCTTGGCAAAGTAGAGGCGTCAGCAAAAAACAAGGAGACCCTCAATAAATGATTACACAACGGCTGCAACAATGTGCTCAAACATACTTCTTATTGTGAGGATGGCTCAGGACTGGGCAACTTTCTGTTCTGTTTCACTTAGGGATGCTGTGAGTCAGAGGCAACTTCACAGCACCTAACAACAACAGAGAAAGTATTCGTTCACAGACTGAAGAGATTTGTAGAGAACATCTAGCGTTAATCCTCAGTACTTCATTCTGTTCTAGTAGACGGCTTCTGAGCTAAGGCTAGTTTGTGATTCATAAACCAGTTTTTGAGACTTCTTAGAAACAACACTGGCAAGTCAGATTAATCTGATTTTTTTCTAGTCCCTTTCTGCATCTGCCCTTTGTTTTTCAAACATATGCAGTGTTTGCAGGTGAATCCTAAGGTAGCTATTTATAGACCTAGTCAAGTGCTTCCAGAGAGAAAGAACCCTAGACTCAGATAGCAGTATTCTTTAAAGCAACTGATACTTCTACCAATTTTGCTATATGAATTGGCCCTATTTGAAGTTGAGTTTAATTATGGCTGGCAGTTCAAACCCACCATCCACTCCTTGGAAGGAAGATTGGGCAATCTACTTCTGTAGAGATACTGCCTTGGAATCCCAAGGAAGGGTCGCTATAAGTTGGGATGGACTTGATGGCAGTGAGTTTGGTTTTTGGTTTTTTAATACTTATATTGGAACAATTAAAAATAAAACAAAAAACTTCTGTTAGAGCCATAAAGACCTTGACCTCTGCCCTCTTTATCCTTCCAGTAGTTCATCCCTCTGATTCTTGGAACAGTCAAGGTCCTAATGAAGAAGCTCTGGTGGTGCAGCGGTTAAACCATTTGGCTGCTAACCAAATGGTCGGCAGTTTGAACTCACCAGCCTCTCTTTGGGAGAAAGATGAGGCAGTCTGCTTCTGTAAAGATTTATAGCCTTGGAAACCCCATGGGGCATTTCTACTCTGTCCTATAGGGTTGCTGTGAATCAGAATTGACTTGATGGCAGTGGGTTTAGGTGAGGTTTTTTTGGGGGGTGGGGGTTACTGACTTAATCAAGATTTAAGGTACTGCCTGTCACTTTTCCAGCCAAAATATTTCATCGCTCATAAGTGAATCTATTAGATTTCTTCTCTAAAAGAACATGACTGATTAAAGAGAACTCAGAAGTACGTGGGAGATAGTGCAGTTCCCAGTATAGAAATGGTAGGTAATTCCTCTCTTAAGGGTCATTCCCAGTTCAGATAGTAGTTACTTCCTCTGTGTAGGGTTGTTCCTATGTTAAAATAGTAGTTTCTCTTCAATTCCTTAGTCCACTACTCAGAAATGAGTAGGTTTCTTATATCAGTCTAATTTCAAAACCCAGAGCAGGAAGGGGAATATGCAGAAGACAATTTGAAATTCTCGTGGAATCTAGACTTTCGGTAGCTATGGAGGCTACATTAACCCTCAAAACTATTGCCCTGAAGTAATCTTAAACTTTAAACCAAAAATAGCTCCTGAAGTCTTCTTAAAACCAAATGGCAATTTAGCTTAACCAGTAAACAATGTTTGCCTGGAGCAGTATGCTCTTTTATGATGTATCTGTGTGGGTTCAAAGTGACAACAGCAGCTTGAAGGGATAGAAGCCTTAGGGGCAGTGAATTTATGGTAATAGAGGAAGAACAACTCAGAAAAGGAGGGGGAGAATGGTTGCACAACTCACAAAGAATGTGATCCATGTCACTGAATCAGTTGGTGTGTATTTTGCAGTGTATATTCTCAACAACAACAAATAAATAAATAAAATTCTTTTTAAAAAAGCCAACTCAGGATATTCTGATACATTTCATTTTTTCCCCATGCCTCTAATTGGGGCGGGGGGGGGGGGAACCACTGCTGTCGAGTTGATTCTGACTCATCGTCACCCTATCCAGAAAAACCCAAACCCACTGCCATTGAGTCCATTCTGACTCATAATGACCAAGGCTGTGAATCAAGGCTGTGAATCTTTATGGAAGTAGATTGCCTCGTCTTCTTCCTCCGTAGCAGCTGGTGATTTAAACCACCGACCTTCTGGTTTACAGACAAATGCTTTACCCACTACATCACCAGAGCTGCTTCTGTGACCCTCTAGGACAGAGTAAAATTGCCCCATAGGGTTTCCAAGGCTGTCATCTTTATGGAAGCAAACTGCCGCATTTTTCTCCCAGTTGGTGGATTCAAATGACTGACCTTGCAGTTAGTAACCACTTTAACCACTGCACCACCACGGCTCCATACTGTTAATCAAACCAAACAAACCCAACCCACTTCCACTGAGTTGATTCCGACTTATGGAAACTCCCAAAAGGTTTCCAAAGCTGTAAATCTTTTTTTTTTTTTTTTTCAAACTTTTATTGTGGTGAAAACATACACAGTAAAATATTCACCAGCTTAACAACTTCCACATTACAGCTCGGGGACATCAATGACATTTTTCATGTTGTTCTGCCATTATTGCTGTCCTTATCCAAAACAAGGCTATAAATCTATATGGAAGTGGATTGCCTCATTGTTCTCCCATGGAGCACTGGTGGGTTTGAACTGCTGACCTTCTGGATAGTAGCCAAATATCTTACCCACTAAGCCAGCAGAGCTCCTGTACCTCAAATAGTACTAATTTCTCTAGGAACCCAAGTTGGCGCTAAAGAATGAAGACATTTAAAGAAGATAAAATACTAAGAAAAGGATTTGCCAGGAATTTCAGGGGAAGATAGAGCATATATTTCTTTATCCGTGAAAATCACAAAGGCTATGAGCCTTGAAACTCTAAGATAGAAAGAATAGTGTGGTTAGGGCTAAGGAGGTGGTGCTGAATCAAGAGGCCTGAAATGGCTTCTTTGATTTAGTTAAGAGGATTGGAATCTTAATCCAGAGTCTTCAAGTAGTTCTCAATCACGAATTTTTTGGGGTCTCCTACCATATATCTTTGTAGCTATTTACTTAAAGCTTTATTTGGGTTCCAGTGAACTCTGCAAGAGCTTTGAAATCAGACAAACCCATTGAGTCTTGGACCTGATGAGCTTGGATAAATCACAGCAATCTTTCTGTTCTGTTTTCTTATCTCTGTAACGATGATGATAAAGCCCATAGTTGTGAGATAAATTCTAGTTCTTTCTCTTCAGATTCATTTGGCCATCATCTTTTTCTTCAGGTGCTTCCGCTTTCCCTCATCCATGCTGCCCAAGGACATTTTCCACAGGATCTAAAACAAATGACTCTAAGGAGCTAAAAACGACCTGGGGACTCCAAACAGGTTCCAACTATTCTGAGATCTAGCAGGCTTCCCAACATAAGTTAACAGAGACATCTTAATCAGCTCTTTTAGAACTTGTAGAAAGATAAGACTTAACTCATTTCTGGCCTACCTCCTTGGAGTTTCAGATTCCAGGTTTGCCTTCTAGCTGTTTTTGTATGAAATGCCATTTTCCATTCTCCATTAAGGAGAATTTTCAGCAAACATTGAATGCTTATCTATTTGCTAGAAAATGAATGGGAAAGCAGGAATATTTTAATTAGGAGGAAGTTTGAGGAACATGAAGCTTTAAATTTGAACTGTGACCCCATTACCATTAAGAATGGAAGACAAGAATCCAGAAATGTTTGGAGTTCCTGTGGTTGTAGCTTCAAGTTTAATCTGTTTAATAAAAATCTTTTGTGGATAAGGTCTCTGGGTATTGTTTAGTTTGAGAAATAATAACTTTCCCTGGTCAAGAAACCATCTTAGCTCCCTTTTCATTTGATTTATAGGCTGTGATTTTAGCAGTAAAATGAGTTAAGATTCTGACTTAATTGAGTGTTGTCATAAACAATCCCCAAGAAAGCAGTCAGAGGAGAGTGAATTCTAATTGGGAGAAAAGAACACTTTCTTATTGGGTTGGGGGCAGCTTAGGTGGTTTATTTTTCCTCCTACTCCAATTCATTTTTCTTCTTTTGTAGGGTCTGTGGTCGGAGCTATAAAGGAAGTCAATGTGAGCCCATGCCACACCCAGCCATGCCAACTGATCAAAGGACAGTCTTACAGTGTCAATGTCACCTTCACCAGCAGTGAGTAAAAGGGTTCTTACCCTCAAGTTCAAATTCATCCTAACGCATAACATAAATCTCAAGTATAGAAATAAGCATGAGAAGTTAAGGAAGGGAATAGACAATCAGGAGTTCCATGACCTCCCTTCTGACTTATACAAAGCCAGACTTCACTATTCCCTATATTTCACAGTCCATGGCTGCCAGACTCTTGTTAAGCCAACAAGGAAATATCTAGGTATTCAGTTAGATATGAGAGCTCAACTCATCCCTGCCCTGTCTTGGTCTCTATTGCACAGCTATTGAGCCTCTGACCTGCCTGAAAATAAAGGTGTATTTAATACTTAATAGTCTCTGTAAGGTTTATGAAATCCATTTGGGGAACCAAAAAACAATCAGGAAATCTGAGTTTTTTCCTTCAACTTGAAGAAATATTGGAACTTGATGCTTTCTTATACCACATTCATCACCTTCCCAAGAATCTAGACAAATGCAAAATGTTTATTTCTAGAGTCCATCTGCCTTGAATTGAATTTTTCCTCATTTTCTATCCTATGATACTAGACTTCTAATAAGAAGTGTAAAAGTCATGTCTTCTTGTTTTTAAGCCTACAGACATCTTCAAGGACTAGCAGCTCCCTGTTTTTTCTTTTGAGCTATCACTTGGCCCATGTGTTGTTCCAAAGCAAAAAAAAAAAAAAAAGTCTTTTAAACAATAGGTTGTCCTAATTTTATAATACCTTTATCCCCTGGCCAAAAGTCTCAGCCCATCCTGTGCTATGCCAAGTACAAGTTAGCAGGAAATACCCCTCTTTCTAATCTTTCTTAAGTTTCTAAAGCTTTTACTTCTTTCGCCGTTGGTATAACCCATGGCGTTCCTATGGGAACTCTTTATTCCATACCCTTTCCATATTGCCATATGCTGAATTCTTTATTTCTAATGGACTCCCCTGGGCAGATAAGGGACATGTTATTTGAGAATTCAGAGACTGGACTTTTAAAACTCTTTAAGATGCATTATGCAGTTTGACAGAAACTGATTAAGATTTATTGCCAAAGATCAGTTACCTTGTTGGATAAGGTTATTTATCCAGGAACCTCTGATTCTCCTGAGAAATTATGCAAGGCAGTGAAGAGCAAAGTGGGGTGAGAACAAAGAAAACAACTCCTATGAATTACTGATTTTGGGGTGGTTTTTTTTTTCCCCCATAATTCATTAATATTTCAAATTTTAAGAGTGAATGCTTGGTCTGTGCTTGGCACTAAGCATAACTACAAAGAGAAATAGACTGTGGGAGCTAAGTGGTACAGGCTTTATGGTCTGCTTCTGTAGCACGTAGAGTGTATGCACGTATGTGGTGTGTTTCTGTAACAATGCAGAGTATGCGTATGAGTGGTGTGTTTCTATTGCGATGCAGAGTGTATGCGCGTATGTGGTGTGTTTCTGTAACAATGCACAGTGTATGTGTATGTGTGGTCTGCTTCTATTGCGATGCAGAGTGTATGTGTGTATGTGGTGTGTTTCTGTAACAGCGTAGAGTGTGTGTGTGTGGTTTGCTTCTATTGCGATGCAGAGTGTATGCGCGTACGTGGTGTGTTTCTGTAACAATGCAGAGTGTATGTGTGGTCTGCTTCTATTGCGATGCAGAGTGTATGTGCATATGTGGTATGTTTCTGTAACAATGCAGAGTGTATGTGTATGTGTGGTCTGCTTCTGTTGCGATGCAGAGTGTATGCGCGTATGTGGTGTGTTTCTGTAACAATGCAGAGTGTATGTGTGTGTGTGGTTTGCTTCTATAACAGTGCCATAGCTTGAGAATATATCCGAATTTTTTATTTAGAGTTTGGAAATAAGCTGTTTCCCTTATGGTCTGATCCTGTTTTTTCCCCCCTCTATAGGTGGTTATTCCCAAAATAGCACAGCCTTTGTACACGGCATTATATTGGGCGTCCCAGTTCCCTTTCCTATTCCTGTGCCTGATGGTTGTAAGAGTGGAATTGACTGCCCCATCCAAAAAGATAAGACCTATAGCTACCTGAATAAACTACCAGTGAAGAATGAATACCCCACTGTAAGTGACGTGGTTGAGGAACCTGGAGGCCTTGTGGCTGGATTTAAAATCCAAGGGGAGGGGACAGGAAGCAAAGATTGGGATAAGGGGTCCTAGGGTTCTTCATCTGTGTAATGAGAAAGTGGACATCTGTAGTAAAGGAGATAGGAGATAGGTTTGGTTATTAAGAATCACATAGTAGGGCAGATTTTTTTTTTTATTGTGATTTAGGTGAAGATTTACAGAGCATATTCACTTTCCATACAGCAGTTCACATACACTTTGTCTCATGACATTGACCACAATTTATCACAATGCAACAGGTCTCCTCCCACTTCCTCCTGATAATTACCTCTTCCCTATGTCCATCCCTCCATAAGGCAGATATTTTTGTTATGTCTTTTTGTACTTGACTATGGCCTAATGGTTAGCCTGGGCCTAATGATGCCATTTTTACATATTTCACTTGTTCTCATGGCCACACTATGTAGAGGTAATCTTATTGCTATTTTATAGGTGAGTAAGTTTGAACCTCAGAAATTATGCAGTATGGACACAATCTACCTGCATAAGGGGCAGGGAGGCCACATCTTCTGACCTCCTCTAATCCCACTAGAGGAAGACAGAATCACCATCAGTAGCCCAAGGCCTATCCCTGTAGGCCAGACATGCCACCTCCCTCCAGCCCTTTCACCAACCCTGACACCAACCGTTCCTCCTGCAGCACCCGCCACCTCTCTGCTAGGTTCGATAATTCGCTGCAGTGGCCACACAAAACTCACAGATTATGGGGTTTATTAGGGAGGCAACAGGCTTCAAGTTCAGAAATATGCTCAGTCTCTTTCAGCCCACCATCTCTCAGCCTACAGTCTCTCTCCCAGCAATGCGTGTCTCTCACGTCTCTCAGCCGGCCGTGAGAGATTCCTTCTGCCTCTAGGAGGGCTCCTTTTGAGCCTGGCAGAGTGACCAGACCAACCAATCCCAACATCAGAATTCTGTACACCTGAGAGAAAGTGAACTTCCCAGAAGATTGCTTTGTGCCACTCCCAACAGAAATAACCCCAGGTGGATAACTTTAACAATCAGGAACTACTCAGTTGGTCATGGCAAATTCTGCCACAGTGTTTACAAAGACTTATGACTAGAAAAGCCATACCATGTAATTTACTACACCACAGTACCCCACTAGTAAATATTATAACCTAGGCTTAGAGCTGGTTCTTGTGGTCCAGAGTGTATCTGCAACGTTAAAAAATGTTAGCCAGATACAAAATAGTTCAAGATCCAAGTTGTCTTAGCATTATAATCAGAAAATTCTGATGTCTCCATTAAGTTCTTAACAAGTGCAATATTTTGTTAGCTCCATAGGAGAGAGGTAGCTTTTTTTATTCTTTTTTCTCCCACCTCTACCTCTAACCTGCTTTGCTAGACCTATTCTTTTTCTACTAAGCTCTTTGGAGATTAGATCTTGCTTGAGTGAGCTTTGTATTAAAGGTATGAAGCTTGGTAAGAATGGAAAAGATAAAGGGGTTACTTTTTTCCATTGGGGTTGGGAGGGAAGTCAAGTAGAATCCAGGAAAAATCTAACTATGTATTTTCTAGAAAAAGCAAGTAATCAAAGACCATTCTGAAGAGACTCTGATATAGGGAGTCTGTATTTAAGAGATGTTAGAGACCCTAAAGGTCAAGGACAGGTTTGTACATTAATTTTTAGAGTATCCATCTAATCCTGGGCATTTCTGAACCTCAGTTAAGTAATAGAGTATCAGTCAGGGCCTGGTACATAGTAGGTCCTTACCATATGACTAGTAATTGTTCTTTAAGTGAATTTCAGTTCAAAAACAGTTCAAACTGTTAGTTTAAACAAAGTGAAACAGTATTGAATGTGTGCTAATTAGTTTTGAAAAACAAGTTTCAAGAACCATTGTCACTCAGGTGTTGTGATGTGAAGAAGTTTGAGTACAAAAGAGAAGTGGTAACTGAAGACCAGCAGCTAATGTTTATGTAAGAAAAGATGAATTACTAAGTAGAAGGGATGACCAATAATAGGGGTAGAACAAATCACAGTAGAGGTCATAATGAGATAGCTTATTAGAAAATAATTTAAGGAAGTTAATTGAAATTATGTTGCTACAAAGGATTGTTCTCACTAAAATTATTCATATGGCCATGAATGTCTTTGGACCATCCTTTGAGCTTTGATGTCTCCATTTCCAGGTAACAAGAAAGTTTCTTTTTATCTGAGAATCTAGTCTTTTTACTCTCTGCTTTTCATGCTTAGAGTTGGAAAAGCTAGAGCAGATTGCCAAATACATGAGAAATTGTTTGAATATAAAAATTAATTTTCATGTAAGACTTCACTTATGTATCAGTGATGTAAGAGGGAAAAGAATGGTTTAGAAATGGTATTTGGTAAAGTAATTAAGTTACTATGTGTTGCTGCTGACCCCAAATCATAGATAGGAGTTGGTTCATTCTAATTATTAAGGCCACAGGCTCTGCCCACGTCCAAAGTAACCTTTATGATGGTGTGACTTGAAAAGCGTGAGGAATTAAGGCAGTTTGTTATAGTCCATATCCAGAATACCTACTTCAACCAATTTTGGATTGAGGCCAGGGCCTAATAATTTCATTTATCCTAATTCTTTTTCTCTTCTCCAGATAAAACTGGTGGTGAAATGGGAACTTCTGGATGACAATAAAAAGCGTCTCTTCTGCTGGGAAATCCCAGTAGAGATCAAATCCTAGAGTTATTTGATGCCAATGTCTGGGAATAAGGGGGCACGGACGTGGGGCGGGAGGAAGTGAAGGAGAAATCAGGTCTGAAACTAAATCAGTGCCATAACATGAAAGGAATTTCAAGATTGCCATTTTATACCTCTTGGCCTCCAAAAGTATCCTAAGACCCTGTTTCCTGAGAGCTCAAAACAGTTTTCCTTATAACACCTGTAATACCTTTTGTAGAAGGATTGAAAGAAGAGAGATGAGACTGTGGGACTGAGGAATTGATTAATTATCTTCAGTGATCTTTGCAGTTGTAGTAGGGAGGGCGCAGCCAGACAGGACCTGAGGAGGTTGCTTAGGCATATCAGATACCTTGCCTTAGGGTCGCTGGCCCTGATTGGAGGACGGGTTCCAGGCGCCATCCATCCAGCTGGAATATTGCATCTACACATTCTTCATCTTCAAGTGCCTCATTGAGTTCAGTGCATTTGGCCAAGTCAACACCTCCAGCTTCACTCATTCCACAGGCATGACTTGCTCTCCAGTGGTATCCAACATTGCATTGGAGGGGAGGTTCTACAACAGAAATTCACCTCTGGGTGGCTGATTCGCAGTGGTGTGTCTTGTGTCCCTTTCTGTCTTAGATGGTTTTTTGAATGTAGCAGTTGGCTAGTAGATGTTTGATTTTTTTTTCTTAACATCATTAACTTGTGGCCTCTTTATGTACCTAGAAATGTCTCTTTGAATAAAAACTTGCCAATCCTGTCTTCTGCCTTTGGGCTTGCCTGCTTCTTTGAGTGAGAGTACATCTCTAGGTCCATGGAAGGTGGGTTCCCAGGACTAGATAGACACTTAACAGCACTCAGTGCACTGACTTTCAGAAATGGCCTTTTCTCCCCTTTATGCCCAGTTAGACCTTACTTACATACTTTATACAAAGCAACTTTCTTGTTTTGCTTTATTTTGCACAAACTTACACTTGTGGTCTTGGAGCCACCAAGCATGCGTGAAGGAAGCCATGAAAGCAGATGTCATCTAGTTGAATAATAACAAACACATGAAGGGTTGAGGGAACTGAATTTCAGGGACAAGAGTAGGTATTGGAAGCTGTGTGTTGGAAGACAGAGTGATCTTTTGGGAACCTTCTGCCATGATGAGGAAAGCCTAAACACTTAAAGATGAAATGTGAAGTTTCATGCCATAGGGCCAATGGAAAAAAATCAAACACTGTCACAAGTAGTGACTACCTTATTTGAAGTGTAACTGTGGGGGCAAATATTTTCTGTCAGCTTTGAATCAATCAGCTGTTATCTATCAGTGATTAGAACCCTGTTCACGAGTAGTGTGATGTTGGAAGGTCATCTTAGGTTAAGGAAAATTAAAGAACTAGTTTCTTAGTTGAGTTCATGTAGAGTATGAATGAAGCAAGTAATTTGTTTGGTTTAGTTCTATTCATCCCAATCATCGTACTAAACCAAAACACCAAACTCATTGCCATAAAGTCTATCCAGACTCATAGGGACTTCCATTGGGTTTCTGAGGCAGTAAATCTTTACAGAAGTATGTTGCCCTGTCTTCCTTCCACAGAGAAGCTAGTGGGTTTAAACCACCAACCTTCTGGTTAGTGGTCATATGCTTCAGGCACTGCACTGTGAGAGCTCCTTAATCATTGTACTAACTGCCGTCAAGTTGTTTCCAACTCATAGTGACCCCTTGGGTTTCCAAGGTAGTATCTCTACGGGAGTAGATTGCCCCATCTTCCTTCCAAGGAGTGGCTGGTTCTGGTTAGCAGTCAAATGCCATAGGTACTGTGCCATTAGAGCTCCCAATTATTGTACTAGACTCTTGGACTTCTTTGCCCTGAGATTTTCCCGGGAAAGCCACCAGGGGACAGCAATAGATCAGGAATAAAGGTCTTCATAGCCAAGATTTACTTTTTAGTTCCTAGAGCCATTCAACCAGTCTACTATTTAGCCAAGATCTGTTGTAACCTATCCCATTGTTTCTGGAGGAATAGCCCATCACATGCCTGACCATAGGTGTATCAGAATTGTGTGCATTCCAGGTGGTCATATAGCATGGTTTGTGACTACCAGTGCCATCTTTAAATCAATGTGCTTCAGTTTCCTTCTCTGTTAAACAGGGATAATAAGAGGAACACCCCCCCCCAAAAAAAAAAAGCCAAATTCAACTGCCATCTAGTGGATTTTGACTCATAGCGACCCCCATTCATTGGGTTTCTGAGCCTGTAAATCTTTACAGAAGTAGATTGCCCCATGTACCTCCTCAGCAGAGGCTAGTGGGTTTGAAGAGATGATTCTTGTAAACACTTAGAATGACTCCAGCACCTAGCACACACTCACGAAATGTTAGCTATTCTTCTAGGAGGAGCCCTGGTGACACAGTGGTTGAAGCACTCAGTGCTAACAGGCCAATGATTTGAACCTACCAGAGGGAGAAGGAAGCGGCAGTTGGCTTCTGTATTTCAGCCTTGGAAGCCCTATGAGGGCAGTTCTGTTCTGTCCTTACAGGGTCGCTGTGAGTCAGAATTGAGTTGATGGCTGTGAGTCAGAATTGAGTTGATGGCAGTGGGTTGGGTTTGGTATTCTTCTAGGAGACAGACTGTTCCTCACCTAGAAACAGCAGGAAAACCAAAAGGTTCAATCTGAGGTGTGATATTGTGTCCTCTGCACAGGAGCTTTCTGAGGTGTGTGATCCTAGGAAAGCTCTGTTCTCCAGTGTGTCTGCTAACTCCCTGTCCCCAGAAGAGTCCTCGAGTCATCAGCTCCTTTGAGGTTAACAGCTACCTGCCCTGCATATCATCCTTGTCTGTCCTGATGTGGTAAAAGAAGAAGGAGCAGAAAGCAGTTCTGCTAGCCTATCACCTTCCATCAGAGCAAGCGGGTAACAGCAGCTTGTGACTACAAGCCATTGTGAGACTCCACGGAGCCTGCAGCAGGGAGCTGGGTGAGGGCTCCCGTGGGGGGATAGGGGGATTAGTTTGAAAGGTCGTCTTCCGTACAGACAGTTCCCAGGCGCCCCCCGAGTCATTAAATCGTTGAGAGGCAGTGCATCTTAGGCTATTTATATAAAAAAGGTCATGCTCTTTCCAATGACAGTCTCATGCTTGTCTAGTCCACTGAGCAAGCCGTGGAGGCTCAAACACAACTCTTGTATGAATTCTAGGACAGGTAGCTGTTTATTCTGCTTACAGACCAAAGAACACCCAACATCTAGTATCCCCAATTTAAGTGGGAGGCCTACTCTTTAGTCAGATGTTCATGCTAATGAAAAGCAATTAAGCACAAGAGTAATTGTAACTGCTGTATGTTGGTTTTTTAAATCTTAGTTGATTTTCTAAAAGATAAGGTTGATCTTAATTATGCTTTGGGAGCTCTGGTGGTGTAGTGCCTAAGACATTTGACTGCTAATGAGAAGGCTGGCGGTTCAAACCCACCAGCCACTCCTCAGGAGGAAGGTTGGGCAATCTACTTCCTGAGTGATACTGCCTCGAAACTCATGGAGGGGTCACTATGAGTCAGACTCGATGGCAATGAGCTTGGTTTGGTTTAGAATTATGCTTTGCATAAGTTGATAAAACCCCCAGGCATAGGAAAACCAAAACAACAAAAACTCACTGCAATTGAGTTGATTCTGACTCATAGTGACTCCCGTTGGGTTTCTAAGGCTGTACATCTTTATGGAAGTATATTGCTTCATCTTCCTCCTGTGGAGCAACCGGTGGGCTTGAACCACTGCCTTTCTGGTTAGCAGCCAGATGTCTTACTATGCTACCAGAGCTCCTTTAGACATAGAAGGGTGGCTAAAATAGGTGAGGTTCTGGCTAAGGGGAGATGACCTGGGATTAACCATTTACTTCAGATAATCCGAAAAGTAAGTAATGCTTAAATGATTGGTTTTATGAAGACAAGGTCATGGTACATAGGAAGAGCATTGGTACAGAGGAAAAAGCTATGGGTAAGAAATGTTTACCTGGGTTGCTATAGTGAAATCACTCCAAGCAAGTGTGTGTTCCCTAGGGCCTTTGGGAAGGACACGGCAGGAGGTGGAGCTTAGGGTGTGCCTTGTTGGAAGTCCTGGGATACTCAGTTGAGGGGTGTGTGTGTGTGTGTGTGTGTGTGTGTGGAGAGGGGTGGGTGTTGTGTGACCTGAGATGAAGTAGCACTGGATCTCCACAGATAATGCCTAAAACAGACTTTCGAGGAGTTATTTTGAATGATGGTGTGTCTTTTTCTATGAAGAAAATCCCCTAGCCTATCCCTCAGATTCAGAACCAAATCCTGTGCACTTACAGCTGTCAGTTGACTAGCAACTAAATGGTCTGGGTGTCAGTTGCTATGGAAACAGCTAAACGGCCCATTGCTATGGGAACCTACCCTGCTCTCCAAACCAGGGGTTTGATACCTAAAGACAGGTCGAGGGGAGGGGGAAGCCCAGGAGATAATCTGCATAGGTGGCCTCACTTCTTGTGGGTCCCAGAAGAGAGTGAACAGTTGACAGTAGCAGGTGAGCAGGGCTGGCCAGCAACATGCATGGAAGGAACCGTGATCTTTACTCTCCACAGACGTTCTCTGCCTGTCCTCTCCGCTCACTGTCTTGTAGCAGCCACAGAGCACAGATGTTTGCTGTACCAGATGGAGAGTAATGGCATGAGATTCAGGGGTGGACCTCGAGTGTCAGTGCTCCTGCCCAAATCTGCAGGGGCTCTGAGATGGAAAGTCTCGGCTCCTTGTTGGCAGGCCCTTCTCCACAAATCATGTGTCCCAGATAAGCAGCCAGCAGGTGAAAGGAGCAGCTTAGCTCTGACTGCCAATGGGTCAGGCAGATAAGGAGCCTGGCAAACAAAATGGATGACTGCTGGCCTTGAACATGGCAGAGGTGCTGGGGGTTCCAGATCAGAAAGCACAAGAGCAGGCCAGCAGCAGCAGTCTCTGTTCTCAGCATTAGCAAAAGGTATTATTACTTGGCTCTCTCCCTGCTCTGCCCACCCATATGCCCCTGCC